CAAGCGCTTAACCGAAAGTGTAACATTGTATAGGATTTGTTATAATGATGCAAAAAAAGAAAAGTCGTGACAGGATAAAATGAAGAAGAAAACATAAAATCAAAATAGAAAAATCAAAACGACAAATAATTTCTGTGCCATAGAAAATCCGCCACCACCAATAAACACAACACCAAAATTTAAAACAACCCAATTTTAGTGTTGTGTTTATGTGTTTCTCTCTGACAAGAAACCAATATTTTAAGTCTTATGAAATGCATTCATAAAATGCAGAAATCCGAACATTGACCACACTTTCTGAACACTATTCGTATAATATACGCACTGTTGTTTTCTGTGTTTATACCCTACACTACAGGGTGTTCATGTTCATGAATTATTTATTGAATATCTAAAAATATAATATCGAAACTGCTTCAGCAAAAATTCAAGTTTAAGTTAATTTATTTCCTGTGTAATTGTGAAGTTCATTGAATTTAAACTTTCGATAATATTTCTTAGCTTCATATACATTCTCAAGATATTGTTTGTTGTTTCCCCGTTTTTTGTTGTAAAATAACTTTCGGCAAAATATTACTTGTATGTTTATATTGTAATCTCTCATTTTATAAGCTATCAAGCCGGCATTGTTGAAGGTCACTCTGTGATATGCCGGTTTTTTGTTTGCCTTTCTTATGTGACAATCAAAAACAAATTCGAATAAAATCCCTTTCGTTTTCGAAACAACAATTTGATATGGTCTCTCTGAACAGGAAATAAGCATGCGTCTCATTCGCAATGGATTAAAATGGATTTTCATGCAAACTTTTTTTTTGTCAACAACACATGTTGTTGTTTTTTAATATTGAAATATTGCAAAGTGCAAAGATAAAGAATTATTTCTGGTTTCAATCGAAAGTTAACTGAAATGGACACATTTGAATTTGACATTTTGTATATATTAAAGGTTTTTTTTTTCTAATATATTAAAAAAACTATTATTGAGTTCATATTTTTTTTTTATTTTTCAAACCTTTTATTCTTATCTTAAATATTTGCCAATTTGCAAGAATGATGTCATTGCGATAAAATTTTAAACCGCACAACATCTGCATTTTAATGGGTAACTGACAGGTTTAGAACGAGGTGATAATTTCATAGCAAACTCACACTCACTCACACCCGCATTCAGTTGTTATTAATATTGGCCATGGATAGGTTGCGATATATATATATATATATATATATATAACGGGTTTGATATTATCACAGCATCGTAGAACATTAGCCAAAATTGTACTAAATATGTTAACACCGATGTTAAACGATAGGGAAATACTGAAGTACAAAAAAATTGTATGTAGATTTGACATGAACAAGTCGTTAAAAAATGTGCGTTTTTGCAAATTACCGTACATTGTAACGAAGAACGAGCTACATGACTGAATCAGAGTACTTAAAAAAACCAATAAGGAAAGTAGTAAAGTCGGACTGGGCCGACTATATGATACCCATCACCACTTTGGGGATATTCTACATATGTATCTTTACCGATGCGGCCTCTTCGAAGGAACATTGACATGAAATTAAACGAACTTAAAAATGCGATCTTTATCTATAAATAAACCGAGTAACATCAATCCTTACACATGTCATTCTGCAATCTATTCCATAATTTGTAAATAGACTTCACGCAAACTTTACTATTTGGTAGCTTCACTGTTTAAAATGTAATATCAGTCAAGTACCCATTGATTATTGGGTTTACAATGAACATGTCGAAATTATATATGGAAGCTATGCTATGCTATATCTAAATCTGAACCGATTTCAAGGAAACTTGCCCGAGATTAATTTATATTAATTTTATTACGTTTTGCCAATCGGTCTAGCTATGGGTCTTTAGTACAACATTTACTTAACCCTTTCGGTGTCAAAAATATTTTTTGTCGGAATAAAAATCTAAAATTTTGTACTTAAAATCATATGAAGGCACAGAGTTTAGAAAAAAAAACAATTCTTATTTTAACCCTCGGACAGTTTTGTCTGGCTTTCAGCAAAAACAAAGACATCAATTGTAACGGTACATAGGATAACCGAAAAATTGCAAAGGAAGAGAGTAATTTAAAATGTCGAATATATATGTAAATCTGCGGGTCGGCCAATCTTTGGTTCTTTAGTGCATAATTTACATAAAATCGGGCGAAAATATATATAGGAGCTATATCTAAATCTGAACCGATTTTCACGAAACTTAGCACACATCATTCTGGACCCAATTCAGTACCTATGCAAAATTTCGTGGAAATCAAAAAATATATAGGACCTTTGGAGACCCATTTACCTTAAATCGGACCCGATTTTCTCGATACTTGGCACACGTCATTCTTGACCTAATTCAATACTTTATGCCAGATTTCGTGCAAAAATATATAGGGACTTGGGTGCACATTTACCTTAAATCGGACGAAAATATATATATGGAAGCTATATCTAAATCTGAACCGATTTTCACGAAACTCAGCACACATCATTCTGGACCTAATTCAGTACTCCGTGCCAAATTTCGTCCAAATCAAAAGATATAGAGAGACTTTGGTGCATCATTTACATTAAATCGGACGCAAATATATATGGGAGCTATATCTAAATCTGAATTAATTTTTAGGAAACTTAACACACATCATTCTAGACCTAATTCATTACGATGTGCCAAATTTCGCGCAAATCGAAAGCTATATAGGGACTTTGGTGTCCCATTTACTTTAAATCGGACGAAAATATATATGGAAGCTTTATCCAAATCTGAACCGATTTTCACGAAAGTTAGCACACATCATTCTAGACTCAATTCAGTACGCTGTGCCAAATTTCGCGCAAATCGAAAGGTATATATGGACTTGGGTGCACATTTACCTTAAATCGGACGAAAATATATATATGGAAGCTATATCTAAATCTGAACCGATTTTCACGATTTTCACATCATTCTGGACCTAATTCAGTACTTTGTGCCAAATTTCGTGCAAATCGAAAGATATAGAGGGACTTTGGTGCCGCTTTTACCTTAAATCGGAGGAAAATTTAGTACACTTGGTTTTTTGGTAAGCCAATATAGTTAGAATCATAAACTTTGATTTCCATTTTTGGAAATTGGCATTTCGGAACATTTTCAATTTAGGTCTATGATTTGATATATTCCGGCCTGTCTCATCAACCGCTGTGGCTATAATTTGGGCATTTCTATTTTGCGGTAAATAAAATATAGCGGGGAATAAAATGACATAGCCCCTCATGTAAAGAACCCTTTCAATTTTTTAAGGTCATAGCCTAGGTCATAATGGTTTTGACAAAGACTTTATATAAGGGTCTTGATCGACTTTCAATATTTTAAAGTCCATGGTCTTTTTCCTAATCGTAGAGGATGTAATTTGACATTTCCGGAACTGTAATTTGTTAAAAAATAAATATCTTCCTGAGAAGTGCATTTGATTAAATATTTTTCAAATCACCTATGGTTTTAATATCCTCCACCATAGTATGGAGGGTGAATATATGTCAATTTTTGTAGTCTCCTTATGAATATTAGTCCCAAAGAAATTCGAACCTGACGTTCATCATCGTCAGGCCAGAATTTAGGCATATCTCCCATATAATGATACCTCCCGAAGGAAAGTATTGAGATACAAAACTAAAATAGTGGGTTCGAAATTGAGCTATATTGGTCATTAATTAAGCATAGCCCCTCATATAATGATAACACCATATATTCGCTAATTCCTAGATATGCTATCAATATAATCAATATAACTTTGCACTTATAAATCAATGCTTGAACAAATGTTTCAAAAAAGGCCGCAAAAATCCACGATTGTGCTTAGCCATTGATTTTTTATTTTTAATCCGCTTGTATTTAGTCCTTACTTTGATATGGCAAAAATGTGCCTTCAGCAAAACTTCGCATACATCAATGTGGACCTAATTCAGTACGCTGTGCAAAATTTTGTGTCAATCGGCCTAAATTTGGGTGTTTGGTGCATCATTTACTTAAAATCGGACGAAAATATATATGGGAGCTATATCTAAATCAGAATCAATATTTCCCAATTTCAATCGAATTCGCCATTGGGCCAAATAAATGAGCTGTGTCAAATTTCATCCTTTTCTGATAATAAATGCGACCTGTACTTTGTTCACAAAAATACATGGAAAAACGGACAGACGGACATGCATATATCAACTCAGAAAGTGATTCTATGCAACTGATTCTCAAAAGGAACCATATGTCTATCTCTCACAGTGTGGTGAAGGGTGAAGGGTATAGTCAAGAACAAGATATTAGTTCAAATAATTATGCTGACCAATGTAGAAAGATATTTTCAGTTCATACTGACGTCTAGACGAAGAGATTTCATATATGGATATAAAACCCACAGCTGTAAATTATTTCATATTCGACTGAAAGCTTTTTCAAATATGCATATTATTTACAATAAAATACAACTAATATATCCGGCACTAAAATATTATATATAAACTAAACATAAACAAAATATCTCAAAAAGAAATAAAAAATAAATAAATTAAAAACAAAAACGCAAATGTTAAACCACACAAAAACATAATGAATTTCAAAGCCGGCAAAGAAACCCCAAACCGAAACCACACGCAACTCTAGCCAAGTTTCCGGTTTGGAACTGTGTGAAGGTGGTGGCATTAATTTACAAAAAACACATTAATGGAACGCCCTCACAAGACAGGGGTTTCAAAAAAAAAAAAAATAAATAAAATAAAAAAATATATATTTATATTTTAGCACGATTTTGTGAGAAGAAAGTTAAGAAACAAAACTGAAGTAAAACATAAAAAATTGTAATTAAATATCGATAAAAAGAATCATTATATCAACTCAAATAATATGTGATTGAAAGAAGTTTCAATAACCCATATTTGCTACAAAGTAAGCATCAACGAAGAAGTGTGTGCGTGTGTGCGTACGCGTGCGTAATCGATTCAGTCTTCAGCCATCCATTAGCAGATGGACAGACACGGAAAAACGGTCAAATTCTTTTGTGTGACAAGTGTTTCGTGTCCAAATGCATGAAAATGACAATTTCCTATGCTCGAGCAGTAAACGTTATAAAATCTGTCCCAAAATGGAGATACCCACCACAAAGTATCTAGCGGATTATCTCTATGTTGTGCATGAGGATGTGCCATTTCGTTATTATCGCAAAGTAAGTTTTTTTGTTTATTCTCCGCTTATTTTTTGTTTTCTGTTGTTGTTGTTGAGATTCTTATTATTTTGCAATCACATGGCCCAAATATGTATGTGTATCTATATATATACAACCACTTATTTGCTAATAAATATTGTTTATGTGTAATTTCTCACATGTTTGCAAAAACTGCACAGTGGATTTGGAATAAATTAAACGATATTTTAGTTATCTAGAAATTTAAATAAAATAACATGTGAAAAATAGAATATGATTGTTACCGTAGTTGGAAGTTTAGATATTCTCCGAATGCCCACTTCATATTACAATATGTGAAAATAAATTTTTAAAATTATTTCTAAAATTTTATCCAGTTTTCCACTTTAAAACACTGTGCACTGTATGTGCTTATGCCACTGTCGTTTATTGCAATGGCTAATAAATAATTAGCACTTCATTCTTTTTTAGCCAATTCTCTTATAAATCCATATTCGCTTATTATTACTAATAAACTGACATTAAGAGTTCATTTGTAGGCATAGTTGGCCGGCTCTATGTACGTACATACACATGTCTGTAAAAATATATGTATGTATGTGGCAATGTCTATCAATCTATTTATGCAAATCTACAAATAGAGTATTTTAAAGCAAATATGTCGGTTGTACACCACGCGGTGATGTTGTTATTGTTGTTGATTATTTCAATCATATTTTTTTGTTTTTCAAGTTTAACGAACTGTAGTTTGTTTGTTATTTGTTTTGTTGTTGTTGTATTCCATTTGTTATTGTGCGATGCCCTACATTGGGTAATATTTGTTTGATAATGATTTTATAAATAATCATTAAACACACTCGTGGGAAAGCAAGCGACGGAAGCAGATCAGAAGATCTTCTTACAAAGACGTTGGAAAGTTAATCTTAAATAGGCGATCAGTTAGCCTAACGAATATCAGAAGTCTTTTTTTTCTATTGAAGACTAATATTTATTCTGCTATAAAACACCAGTTGCCATTATTTCTATAGAAATAGTTAATCTTCTTAAAGAGAAGACCAAAAGGACTTTTTCTAGAAAATACTAGAATACTTTCGAATAGAGCAGACCAAAGGGTCCTCTTATAACGAAGGTCTTCTTTTATAGAAAACAATATGGCACAATATCTGAAGTACTTCTTGTAAAGAAGATCAATCTCAAGCTCATATTTAATGGACGACCAGGAGGTCTAAGGAGGAATATAAGCTCTTTTTGTACAGAAAAATAAAATGTTTTTTTGTATAGACGTCAAGAATTCCTGCTACAACACCAGGTGGTATTTTCCTATAGATACATATCATCTTATTGTAGAGAAGAACAGAAGGTCTTCATTATGGAGACAACCAGCAGGTCTTCCTTTTAGAGCAGATCATATGGGTTTCTTATAGACCAGAGGGGTTTCCTATAGAAACTAGAGGATATTCTTGTTGAAAAGATCTTCTGCCATAGTAAACTATATAAAGCAGCAATAGATCTTCTTCTCCGTAGAAGATCAACTGGAAGTCCAGACTATAAAACTGCTCCTACAGAAGTCTACTTTGTCTGCCCATAGAAGACCAGAAGGCCCACTTCTTCTTCCTCATTCAGGGAAGAAATAAGTCTTCTGCTATATAAAACTAAAGGCCAGAAGGTATAATATTAAAGAAGGTCAGTAGGTCTTCTTCCATAGGAGACCACAAGTTAATCTTACCTAGAAGACGGAAATGTCTGCTACTGAAAAATACTAGTAGGTCTACTTTCATAGTTGACTGGTACGTTACCTCCCATAAAAGACCAACGACCTTTTTCTGTAGAATAAGAATTGTTCTCCTATAAAAGACAAGAGGGGGAGGATTTTTCTCTAGAATAAGGAAGGTGTTATTCTATAGTAGATGAGGGTTTCTTATTCCGTAGAAAGTGAAGAGGTCATCTCTTTTAGATGTGGAAAAGACCTTCTTTTGTTTTTTAGAAGACCAGTAGCCTTTATGTCTATAGGAGACGGGGAGGAGGGCTTCTTCAATAGAAGATGGGAGGTCTTCTTTTATACAAAACGAGGAGCTCTTCTTCTGTAGAAGACGAAGAGTTCTTTTTCTGTAGAAAGTGATTATATCATATCTTCTAGAAGTCTTCTTCTGCAGAAGACGAGGAGGTCTTATAGAAAATGGGTATCTCTTCTTCTGAAGAAGACGAGGAGGTTTTCCACTGTAGAAGACGAACAGTTTCTTTTTTGAAGAAGACGAAGAGATCCAGTTTTGGAGAAGACGAGAAGGGTTTTTTCTGTAGAATACGAGAAAGTCTTCTGTAGAAGGAGCAAGCCTTCTTCTAAAAATATAATCAATCGTTTTTCTCTAAAAGACCAGAGATAATTTTCCATAGAGGATAAAAACGACTTCTTTTTTAGGTGATCCAAAAGCCTTCTTCGAAATGAGGACTTCTAATCTTCTGTATAAAGTGAGGAGGTATACTTTTATAGAAGGTGAAGAGATCTTCTTCCGTAGAATGAGAAGGTATCATTCTGTAGAAGGCAAGGAGGACATCTCTTTTAGAAGGCGACGAGGTCTTCTTTTTAGGTATGGAGAATGTTTTTTGTGGAGAAGGCCTTTTTCTTTTTAGACGAGTTGGTCTTCCACTGCAAAAGATGATGAGGTTTACATCTGTAAAATATCACGACGTTTTCCATAGAAGGCGAGACGATCTTCTTCTACAGAAGAGGAGGTGATCTTCTTCTCTAAAAGATGCATTTCTCTATAGAGGATAATACGAATATTTATTTTGAAGACCAGTAGCATTCGATTTTCCTCCTATATAGAAGGTCTTATTTTTATGAAGAAGGCCATCAAGTTTTCTGTCACAAAGGTTTCTTTTCTATATAGAAGCCTTAACGTTCTTTTCATACAGAATATGAGAAGTTGTTCAAGATTTGACTAATACCATAGACAGACGACAGCCTTAATTTGCATTAAAAAGTTCTTAATTTGAATTAAAATTTAGACAGAATATCAAAGTTTCTTTCATTTAAACAGTTTTTTGATTCTGTGTGTCTGTGTGTAGGAAGAAAATATTGACATTTCTTTACAATATTTTTTAGGATTACATCTTTTTGAAATTGATACATGGCCGGAAGGAAAACTAACAGCTATAATGAAGATAAAACAGCTCCAAATTTGAAGAAATGTTGAATTTTGCCTTTATTTTTAATTTTTTTCGCTGTCAACAAATTTGAAACAATCAATTTATTTTCTACAGCATTGCCATACTGAAATTGCTTAATTCAGTATAAATTCAGTTTGATTTTGTGCATTAACAACACATAAAAATGAGGATATGTACAAATTAATTTGAATTAAGGCTGTTAATGCAAATTAAGGCTGTCGTCTGTCTAGGCTATAAGTCGTAGTGCGAACATTCTGTTTTCGATTTAGAGTATTTTATAGTATAGCTTTAAGGTGAGGTGAATATCAAATTTTTTCTTTCGTTTGAAACACTTCTACGACGACTCTCATATAATCTTGATCAGAGTAAAAAATAATTAATTAAACCATGTTCGACAGTATGTCTGTCCGTCCGTCTGTTGAATTAACGACAGAGATCGCAATGTTAAATATTGCGAGCTTCTATATTTTCTACATTTATTGCTAGTATTTGTAGGATGGGATATATCTGTCCAGATTTAGGTATAGCGTCCATATAACGATACCATTCCATTTTCGATATTCTCAAGGTTTAGTAGCATATCCTAACGGAAGTGGCTTTAATGTAGTAGTAGGCAATTCTGGTTTTCAGATGATAGGAGAGCCCTATATATAGGCCATATTTTCGGTATGTTGAAAGTCCCAGCCGAATATTTCTACCTAAGTGAATATCGGGTTTCTGAGAATATAAACAAATATTTAAATACAATTACAATGCATTCCCGACATATGTGCCCCGATGTATTTAAGGTATTTGCAATGTCAACATCATTGTGAAGTTTTTATTCCTTTTAGTTATTGTTTTCCTAAAGTGTAGAGTGCCAACGAACCACCCTGGTCTTAACTCCCTACTTTTCCACAATGTTTAAATTATTTTGTTTTGATTTATTTTTCTTTTATGCAATTTTTTTTGAGTTTGAGCATTTCTTGTGGTTTATTTGCTGTTTGTTTTTTCTGGTGTTGTTGTTATAATTGTTGTTGTAGTTTGATAATTGTTTATTCCGTATAAGGCTAACATGGCAATTGGTATTACATTTCACTGCAATGATAACATGAATTTCGGTCTCAAACAAACATTTTTTCCTGACATGCTGATGTTTAATCGTCATGCTCATGTTTAAATGCATATTTTTGTTTTCATTTGTATTTTGATATTGAAAATAAACGAAATTAGAAAAAAATATTTCGTTATTTAATTTCATTATATATTTTCGTACTAATGCCGAAGTAATTACCATTTGTTGTGAATGTGGGGTTTTTCATTGATGAATGTGCGAATCATGACGGCCAATTTTCTAATGTTTGCCACTGAGAAAGACTTTCACTTCCCAGCTAGCCCATAGTAACAGCGATTGATGGTGATGACGTTGTGGTTGCTCTGTACATTGGCAATGGCAAACAATTTGATGCTAATCAAGCATAAAATTGTGTTCTATACCACTGCTAATTTGAAAATGATGGTGTCATGCTTCATGGGATTTTAAAGGAAATGTTTTTCTTATTTTCCAATAGAAAATTATAGAAGTTGCAATATTTACTCTTACTTTTGCAATATTGTAGGTAGTGGTTTGACACCGATATTAATTATGGTAATTGAAAATTGGTCAAATAAATGCCCGAAATTGCGTATTTTTAATGTTTTTGGCCGACGTTCTTTTGAAGTGGAAATAATTTAATAAGTGTCTATTTGGAGTTCTCAGGATCACGATTTAGAGTTAAGGAATTTGAATGGCTTTATGGTCATGTTCATCATTCTATTGTAGTTGCTTCCATATTACGCATTGTATTTTGAAAATTTGTATTTAGAAAACCTCC